AAAAAAAAAAAAAAAAAAAAAAAAAAAAAGATAAGAGATAATCACCATTGGCAAGGATGCAGAGAAAAGGGACTCCTTGTGCACTGTTGGTAGTAATATAAATTGGTGCAGCCACTATGGAAACAGTATAGAGGTTGCTCAGAAAACTAAAAATAGAACTATCGTGATCCAGGAATCCGTCTTCTGGGTATACACCCAAAGAAAATGAAATCAGTACCTCAAAGAGCGATCTGTGCTCTCACGTTCATGACAGCATTATTCACAGTAGCCAAGATATGGAAACAACCTAAGTGTCCATCAGTGGACGAATGGATATTTACATATGTGTGATGGAATATTACTCAGCCTTAAAAAAAAGAAGGAAATCCTGCCATTTGCAGCAATATGGATGAACCTGGAGGTCATGGTGCAAAGGGCAATATGACAGGCACGGAAAGAAAAAAACTACATGATCTCACTTGTATGTGGAATCTAAAAAAGTCGAATACATAGAAGCACAGAGTAGAAAGATGGTTACTAGGGGTGGGCAGGTGGGGGAAATGGGGAGATTCTGGTCAAAGGGTACAAAGTTGGAGTGATGTAGGATGAACAAGTCCTAGAGATCTAATGTACAGTGTAATGACTACACTTAAGAATACTGTAGTGAATACTGAAAATTTGTTAAGAGAGCAGATTTCAGGTGCTCTCTCATAAAAGAAAGAAAGAAAGAAAAAGAAAGGGAGGGAGGGAAAGACAGAGAGAGAGAAGGAGGGAGGGAGGGAGGAAAGTATGTTAATTAGCTTCACTGTAGTAATCATTCCACCATGAATATGTATGTATATCAAATCACTATGTTGTACACCTTAAATATATACAATTTTTATTTTAAAAAATAAATTTTAAAAAAGAATCAGGATTCAGCTGGGTGAGAATTCCCTCATATGAACTGGGTGTGGGAGGGGGAGAAACATGTGTTAAAGATAAGGAAAAACTAAGTGGATATTTATCAGGATACGGAAACATTAAGCAGGACCACAGGAGACATGGTGAGTCAAGTGTGGAGGCAACAAGTGTGGAAATGACCAAGACTGCAGTGACCCATCCCAGAGTCATCTCATCCCAGTGATAACCATGACCTTCCACAAGATGGGCCTCATGATGGACAGCAGGGGCCACGCTCTGTGCCAACACATATCCTCCCTGGGCACTATGTATTATAATTTACAGAACAGTACTTACCCTCGTAAGCCCAACAAGCCTAAAACCAATAAACAGCCTGACAGGAAAAGACTAGAATGAAATCTGAGAATTCTGACATGATACCAAAAACATCAAGGTTTACCAAAATACAGAATAAAGTTACCTGTGTAATTAATCACCATTCACTGACTTACTAGAGTGAAGATACATTATTAGACATCATCGGCAAGGGCAGGCATAAAAAAATGAACTTTCTTATTCAAGAAGATTACAGAGATAAGGTTAGGCCAGAAAAGATTAAGTATCTGAGCAGCAACAAAAAGAAACTGTTTCAAATCTTTCCAAAAGCAAAAAAGGAAGACCACACTGAAAACATATTGCTGCGGGAATTTCAGAATTCCCTGACGGTCCTGTGGTCCTGTAGGACTCGGTGCTTTCCCTGCTGAGGGTGCACGTTCAATCCCTGGTCAGGATATAACAAATATCCCACAAGCCACTCGGCGCAGCCAGAAAAAACAAAAAACATATTGCTGGTTAAAAGCTCTGAACCTTGGAGATCTGGGGGTTGGTGCCTAAAGATTTGAAAAATACAGTGATGTCGCTCACAGAAGAAAAAAAAAATGCCAAGAGCAATTTATGGAAATACAGCCTACTTAAATATTTTGGCAGGGGGTCAGAGAAACCATCAAAATGGACAATACTGGCTGTTAACCCAACTCATACATTCCAGCTGAAGGTACAAGAGGTTATAATTACAATACGGCTCCAACTAGAAGCCTGTTTTTGACACCTAGAAATGGATTCCATTTCCCTATCAGGAGGGAAATCACTAAAAATCAAACACTCAACCAGGCCAACTGCTTTCCTACAGACCCTAATCTACGCTAATCACTGGGTCAGGTCATTAGATCACATTCAATCAACAACACATCCAAGAATAAAAAGGTTGGAAAAAAATCACCAATTTGTAAAACACCAAGCATTTTGGATTTGTTGATAATAAATCAGGTCTTCGTTTTTAATGAATTTAGTTTGCACTAATTGATAACAAAGCGATGTATGAATGAATCCACCATGCATGTGCATTATAGGTTTTACATGCTTGTGCGCAAAGACAAATATTTTAGAGGGAAACAAACGAACACAGCAAGGCATTCATGGCTTTAGGGCGGGCTTGGCCGTTTGCAGAGCAACCCTGGCACTTTGCCTAATCTGAGTCTTTTTCCTAATCTGGTGAACTAAATAGTTAGGTCCACTCTTCTTCTGGGAAGAAATTCTGTCAAACCAAGTGACAACCTTCAATCTCTATCAATCTGTACCTCTAATGTACTGAGGGGTAATAATCCAAAGGCCACATAAACACAGAGTTTGATTAAGTGACCCAGTTCTGTGCCAACAATGTTAAAGAAAACTTATTACTAAAGACAGCTACATCATTACCCTTTTCTACTCCTATAGGTAATTAAAACCCTTACTTATATAATTTATACCAGCTTCTGTGGGCCAGAGTAATTTCAGATCATTCTTAAGCGTTTCTTAATCCCAACACTGGAATTGAAGGAACACGGCTCTACTTACAGTTTCGAATGTCACTCCAGTCGATTTTAGAGAAGAAAGGATGACAGCAAAGGCCTTCAAACTTCAGTCTCTCTTTCTGGCCACACAACAAACTTTGGATCAGATCAAGTAATTCACTGCTAACTTTGGGATCATCTGGAAACTTCAAAAACCGCTATTTCAAAAAAAATAATTATTATTATCCCCTTAGCAAATTCAGCTTCTCATGTCTCCAAGTTAAAAAAGTAATTCTCGTATATGCAAGTTTCTTTCTTTCTTTTTTTTTTTAAGAAGGAAGTTTTATGCCCTCTTAACTTGGGACCAAAGGCATGTTCCCAAAATAAACAGCCTGTTCATATCAATAGGCCTAGCTCCCTTGCAAGGGTTCAATACCCTTCATAACTTGATCCCTGTACCCTCTCCCATCTCATCTAGCTACACTCCCCACCTCGCTGTTTGCCAACCAAAAATAATGAGCTATTTAAAGCTGTCTGAACAAATCACTCTGTCCTCTCTGCCCAGAAGGCCCTCCCCAACCTCAGCCCCTCTTCCCTGCCTACCTCCCGGCCTCCCTCTCCCACCCTATCACTCACTCCCTCCTGCGTGCTCCACGTGTTCTGCTTTTGCACATACACGGTGTATTTTGATTTCTGTGTAATGATGGAGAAAGAAGGCAGAGAGGGCCTTTCTCCTTCTTGCCCATCACTGCAAACCTGGTACCTAACACCTAACAGTGCCTAGTGCAATTCACGCGTTACTGAATGAATGGATGGAAATGAAGGAAACAAATGAGCCCCAAGCATCATCTCAGGGGAAACTTTAACTCAGGAGTAGACTCAGGAATAACAAATAATGTATGTATGTATTAAGCATATAAAAAGTGTACTATACATAGAAAATATGCACTAAGAAATTGGATGATATATAAAAACCTGTGAAATACATTCTTTTTCCTTTTGGTTGAAACTAAAACATAGATATTCATCATATCCTTAAGAAATGGGCTTACTATAGTGACAAATACAGTTACTAGAAAATAGGTTTAATTCTACTTTATGTATCTATTACTGTATTTCTAATCCATGTCTTTGACTTTTACTACCATATTTGACAGCCAGCAGTACTAAGCAGTATAGCATATAAGAACATGGATTTCAAAGCCAGACTGCCTGTGCTATTTTGGGCAAGTTACTTAACCACTCTGTGCTTTGGCTTCCTCATCTGTAAAATGAAAATAATAATATCATCTACCTCACAGGATTGTTTGAGGATTAGCCAAGTTAATGAACTATATTTCACAAATTTTAAGACTCCCATTTTATTCACATTTGACAACACTGAAATCAATGAAATATCCTAGATTAATAGGCAGCAGTTTTTCTTTTTTAATGGTACATAAAATGATGGCATAAGCTTACAATTACTGGCAGCTCAGAGTCAATATAATACAATTAATAAAGCACTTAGAACCACTTTTGGCGTAAAATGCTATATAAAGTAGTTGTTGTTGTTATTATCCAAAAGTGCTGGTTTACATTATAAACTTTCATTTGCACAATTTTAAACGACATTTCTCAATATTACTTCAAAATCTAATAATGGCTCTTTACCTGGAAATTCATGATGTTATTGAAGGTTCTGGCTGAGGTCCCCTCAGTGAATGGGGACCTTCCATAAACCATCTCATAAGCAATAACTCCCACTGACCACCAATCACAGTCTAGGCCATAGGCACCTTTTCCATCCCCATTCATGACGGTCAACACTTCAGGGGCCATGTAATCTGGGGTCCCAACTGGGAGTTTGGCATTCACCTGGAAACCCATAAATAAAATGAACACAGCAAATTTTCAATTATCCTCAAATGGATTACCAACAGACATAAGCTGATTTGCCACTGATTACTATTCTCCCAGGCACTTGAACTTTCTGTCAAGTGGCACAGCATCAGGAAAAGCAAATGATTCACTAACTTTAAAAAAAAAAAAAAAAAAAGGCACATAATATAATCCAAAGGCAAAGGGCCCAGGGTTGTTGATGATATATACGTTTAGTTACACAAATGAGAGTTGGGTATATACCTGCAAAGGAAGATGTCGTTCCTGATACATCTTACTGATATGACAGAACTTCTCTTACTTATGAAAGTAGTAAAACGATAACAACATGTAAAGATGAATCTAAAAGATCTACGCATTATTGAAAAACTGGCAGCTAGCTGGCAACACAATACTGCAAGCATGTGTTATATCTCAAGTTTAAATATTTGGAGTCAACATTCCTATTCGGCCCACCCGCAGGGCAAGACATGATAAATAATTTCCACCAGAGGTCAAATGTTAATGAGTTCATTTTCCTCACCCCCAAATCCCGTTTCTGTGGTTCCCTCCCCACTGTTCAGAGACACAGAGCCCTCCAATCCTATGGTACCGAAGCACCTGACCTTGACAAAGAAATATCAGGACAATGTAGGAAGTCTTTTTATAAAGCTAATATATTCCATTTAAAGAACTGTCCTTATTTCTGAGAATTTGTCCTCCTGACTGGTTTAGTGTTTAAACACACTTTGTTTATTGAAATGATGCAGATGAAAAGGGTATGTTTTCTGCCCCTCACCCCCACTCCTTCCTGGGCAACCTAGTAAGCTGGCAAACTTTTGGTCTTCAAAATTGTCTTGAAGTTTTATTGAATCATGAAATTTGAAGTCTAAGGATCACCTCTCTAACCTTACTCCCCATCAAAACAGAGAGGGCCTGATGTTAGTCACATATTGGGTTGACCAGTTGTCCAATAACCCTACATCTAAAAAGGCTTCTCTCACAGCAGCAGCTACATGGTGCAAAAGAACTCTCTCCCCATTAAGGGGTGTTAATTGCCCCTGAGTGAGCTGAGAGATTTTATAGGTATGGCCACATACCTTTAAGGCTGGGCTTTATAGCAAGAAAGTCAATTTGCTTTGCTTTGCTTTGATTTGATTTGAATGGAGACTGAGAGGAAAGTCAATGTTTAGAGAAGATGCTAAGAGGTCTCCTTTCCCCAGTGATGAAGACCCAAGCTCTTCCAGCCCAAAACTTTAATCTGGTCTGCTCCTCTGCCTCAAAGACCCGTTGTTATAGGAAACAAAATCATTGTCCCTACTCCCTCTCTTTTCACCCCTTGCCTCAGGCCCATCACAGGCTTTTTTCAAACCCTAAACCCAGAAAGCAGTGCGATACTGTTATTCTTGACACCAGTCAGCCATCACTTTGAGCAATAGGGCTTCCACTGCAAACACATGCCTGGGAAAGTTAGATGGTCACGCCACCCAAGAAACCCACAGGCCTGTGCTGAGGGACTAAAGTGAGGAGAGAGGAGAAAATATTTGGTCTAAGACAGGACACCTTAAGCTTGAGTAACTGAGTGTAGCTTTGGTCAAGAAGAGGCCTTGATTTTGGGAAGCTTGAGCCAGGACTTCTGTCTTTTAATGTGTGTGTGTTAATGAGCTCAGCACAGAACTGAGATTAAATTACAAGATTTGGGGGGGGAAAAAAATCCTGAATGCTGACAACTAGAAATAAATATCTTTTTTTTAAAAATTGGGGTACAGTTGTTTTACCATATCTTTAAAATATCAAAATAAGAGAAGAAAAACTGTTAACATCTTGGTTTGACTAGGTATTGGTAATGCCACTGTATTGTTGATTAAATGCTTACCCTTTATGCCTAATTATTTTGCAGAACCATTAATACACAATCCTCAAATATTCATCATTTCTATGTATTAGATTTTATTTTATCATCACACTAGATTGTTTGGGGATATTCAGTTCTCCTGAATATCCTTAGGAGATGGCAGCTCCCAGGGCTTGGTCACTTACTCACAACCAAAGAATTGAAAGGAAGTTGACTGGGTCATGTTTATCAGCATGACCCAGCAAAAGGTATAAACTGTCAATGCCTCATTTTCAAACTAATGGTTAGACTTACCAAAGAGTCGGATAACTCCGCAACTGTTTTTGCCCCATAACAGGTATGTGATTATACACATTTATGTCTAACAATTTTGTAAATTTCCAAAATTAAAAAAAAATTCCCTAGCTTGCTTTCTGTACTTCTCCTACCACAGTAATTAACATCAATTAACAAAGACTTTTAATGAAAATTAATGGCTCCTAAGTTTCCATTAGTCACTGACCTCCAAGTACATTAAACCTGTTCCAACATGTAATCTGACACATCTTGATAAGGATTTTGCAAGATCCTTTCACTCTCCTCTGGTGGCAATTCACAGCCAGCTAATCTGGGTGAGGTATTAAAAGTGGGACCGTGTACTAGGAGCGCAGCCTGACTGCAGTATAACCATCTGACAAGGCCCCAGTTTTACTGAACTTTAATTTTCCCTGTATTGACAGGGAAGAAAATATACCAGTTCAGGAGGAGACAACAATAAAACGACTCGGAGACAGACGAGTCTGTCACATTTTCGAGAGACAGAGGGTTGAAAAGAAAAGCAAGGAGGGAAGGAGGAGATTAACCCAGCAGCTTCTTTCACAAGCAGAAAGCAGATGGAGAAGGTGGTAAGAAAACCAGCCTTCCTCCTCCCTATCCCCTTCCTGTAAAAATGCTTATACGTAAAACTGTTTCAAACCTAACTTTACTCCTCTAGCTGCCCAGGGTAAACATACACCTGCAGAAGCAGCCGGAAAAAATATTCTCGCTATGTTGTTCCTCTCAGGGAAAAGTCATAAAATCTTTTCACTCCTCCATAAATCTCAAAAGGGGCTATCTCCTATGGGTTTCCAACTGCTAAATGGTAGCGATTATCACTTAACATGCTATATAACGCTCTTTATTTATAATCTCCTTACAACTGTTTTCACAAGGGCTGAGTGAGACAGACTGGAACTGTTAGCTGTTTGCCATTCTCTGAGATTCTAATAAGGTGAAGTGGGTGACATCTCTGCTCAACACCCAAACTTCCAGGCAGTATGGTCCACCTGGAGGAACATAATGAAAATACTCCCAAGCAACATTCTGGCTAAAAAGCTTAAATATAAAGACAATTGAAGATGGGAAACTCAACAGATCTAAGATTCACAAATATCCAAAATACAATGACCATATGTGGCAGGTAGCAGGGAAAAGGATGAATGGATTTCAGGTAACATACAACAATTTCAGCAAGTGTGAACTATATTTTGCATAGTATATTTTGAGTACTAAAAAAAAACTTTTAAAACCTACTTTAGACCTATAAAACATTCTATTTAAAGGAAACACAGTTCACCCACCATCGCTGATCAAAAATACAAAAAAAAAAGTATAATTCTATATCCATACTTGATCTAGATTGCAAATTGTTGATCTTTTATAACAAAAGGGCCTTTGCACTTAAAGCAATGCTAAAAATTCCTTCTCATCTGCGTGTCACATTCTGGCCCTAAGAGCACAAAGCTCTGGGGAGGCTATTCTCTGAGAGGAGCTACAACATACTCAAGTGTGTAGGACTGAGGGCCATTATCCCCTTGACCATAGAGCGGCAAATAAACCTGAGTGCCTCCGGAGGCTCCCCGCCTGAAGGGAGTGTTGCTACCGCTCGCAGAATTGGAAAGGGCAGTTTGCAGCACTGAAAAATAGACATTTAAAATGAAGAGGAGTCCTGTCTCTCCACCAAGGGCTCTGAAGAGAGCGATTCCAGATGCAGAGATAGGACCTTACTCTTTATTCCCATTTCTTTACCAAGCAGTGACTCTGGATCATAACGGAGCTTTCTGAGTAGGTTTTCTTATCGCAAACACACATTGCCAGCTCGAACTGATAAGCCTTCTGATGCTTCTCAGTCCACGGCCGAGGTTCTCCACCAGGGGTGATTCCGTCCCCCAGGGAACACTGGGCAATGTCTGGAGACATTTTGGTTGCCACAACTGGAGGGGAGGGTGCCACTGGCATCCGGTGGGTAGATACCAGGGATGCAGCTAAACATCCTACAATACACAGGACAGCACCACCCCCAAAAAAGAATTCGCTAGACCAAAATGTCAGAGGTGCTGACTACATATCTATGCTTCATTTTATTTCTAGATGCCTGATTTTATTAAGGTCATTAATGCAAGGTATAGGTTTTTGAATCCCAGATGATAAAACTTGGCATGATTTAACTTTTTTCTGTACTTCATTCCACTAAATTCAATACCTAATTTTTCATGTCTGTTTCTTTTTTTTTTTTTTTTTTTTGGTCTGCATTGGGTCCTCGTTGCTGTGCATGGGCTTTCTCTAGCTGTGGCGAGCGGGGGCTACTCTTGGTTGTGGTGTGCGGGTTTCTTATTGCAGTGGCTTCTCTTGTTGTGGAGCACGGGCTCTAGGCACGCGGCCTTCAGTAGTTGTGGCTCACGGGCTCTAAAGCGCAGGCTCAGTAGCTGTAGCGCACGGGCTTAGTTACTCCGTGTCATGTGGGATCTTCCCGGACCAGGGCTCGAGCCCGTGTCCCCTGCACCGGCAGGCGGATTCTTAACCACTGCGTCACCAGGGAAGCCCTCATGCCTGTTTCTGAATTGTACATAATTTTTAAAACATAAAATTCTCTGATACTCATCTAATTATTAATGTAATGATCAAGTGTAATAGATTATAAGCACATAATCTGAGGGGGGGGATAAAAAACAACCAGTGCTAAGGTGGAAAAACACTGACCTCAGACAAGGTAAGGAGCCTGTATTTCCAAGAGCCTGAACCTGAAGGAAGTTATGTCAAGTGGGCCTCAGATCTGCAGAACAGGGAGGCCAAACCCTGGAATGCAAAGAGTTAACAAAACCCTGAGCCTTTTCCTCAACACAATAATACCCACCTTTCCTCCAAGGAACTTGAGGAAAAAAAGGAAATTTTATATATTGCCCTTCATAAGGACTAAACTCTCAGACCCAGGAGGCATTCTGAAGAGCAGCCATCCCTCACCTCTTAATTTCTGCATTTTAACTAGACCCAGTATTTTCTAGAGGAAGAATAAAAGCCCAAGTTTCTAAGGATTTGTCCAGATCACCAAGTGATTCAGTTGGGAAGTTAGTCTTAAAATCTAAGTCAATTTTTTCTTAGACTTACCATTTTTTGCATAGTTGACCTGAAAATTTACATTTTATTATGTACCAACTTTATTAGGTTTCTAAATTCGAATTTTCTTTTACTTTGTCATCTTTTTCCTAAAGTATTCTCACTCTTGACCTCAATAGCTACCCTCTTGCCTTCCTATTAGCACATGGAATACAGCTTAATAATTATTAGCATGTGGAATACAGCTTAATTTTTACCAAAGGTCCAGGATTTAGAATCGACATTTTGAGTACTTGGTTTTTTGTTTTTGTTTTGCGGTACGCAGGCCTCCCACTGTTATGGCCTCTCCCCTTGCGGAGCACAGGCTCCAGACGCGCAGGCTCCAGATGCGCAGGCTCCGGACACGCAGGCTCAGCGGCCATGGCACACAGGCCCAGCCGCTCCACGGCATGTGGGATCTTCCCAGACCGGGGCACAAACCCGTGTCCCCTGCATCGGCAGGCGGACTCTCAACCACTGCGCCACCAGGGAAGCCCCTGAGTACTTGGTTCCTAATGCTTAATGCTTGGTTCAAATTCTCTGGTGATTACTTTCAATTTCATTGCATAGGAAACAGAGGATTTGAGATAAATAAGGTTACATTTCATCAAAATATTTAAAGTGAAAAAGAAAACGTAACAGAAGACAATCTATTAACAAGCAAGGAAAAAGAAAGGGAAAACAAAATAAGCATTTTCCCATCTTTTAATCCAAACTATAAGAATGTTCCTAAAAATGTTTTGTAGGGTATTAACAGGTATTTTACATAAAAGGGTACCAGATCAAGTAAGTCTGGAAAATCGCTCTGTCCCCATCCCCACCCACCCTGCAGAGAAATCATTTCACACACTGACAGATGAGGGCTCCAGAATGTCGCTCAAATTTATCCCATGTTTTCCAAATTTATGAGGACCTCAGAACACTTTGTAGTATAAGCTCTATTAAGTTATCTTATTCTATTTTGTTACCATCTTATTTGAGTTCATTTTAGCAGCTGATCCAAAATCCACCAGCTTGATGTGTCCCATTCGGTCAATGAGGATGTTCTCGGGCTTGATGTCTCTGTAAGAAAATCAAGGCCACAAATTAGTGTTATCTTCTCCATGACAATCATCAAGCAACTGCTAACCTAGGATCTTGCTACAGCCAAGAATCTTAGTGTCTGTGGTTTTGCCATACAGACCTCCCTACTGATGGACATACATAATAAGCATTTTGCAAAACAAATTTAAGTAAAAGAATGAGAGAGAAAGAATAGAAGGGAGGGAGGGGAGAAAGAGAGGGAGGAAGGAGGAGGGAAGCAGAGAAGGAAAGGGAACAAAATAAATGTTCTTAGATGGATTATTTCTCCTCGAGACACACATTTTACCTCAGGATAGCTAACGCCACAAAAAGCTAGGGGATGTGCCCAAGGCCATGTGGCTAGTCAATGGAAAAACTGAGACACTACTCAGGATTTTGCGGTTCCTGGTCTAACCATCATTCCATTCCCACAACATTCTCAGATGCTCGTAAAACACTAGCTGAGTGAAGATGTAAAGAAACACTTTTCAACTGAGGATGCGGGGGCACACCTTTGTCAATTACTAACGGGCAAGGTCAGAAGTACAACTACACCCACTTCTGTTCCTCCAGGGTATGCTGCCTCCTTGCACAAATCAAATTCAGTTTTCCTACCACAGCACCCAGAGAACCCATGCAAGAGTTCCCAGTCTTATTAGGTGCATTGACAGATCCTACCAGCAAACATGAGAATGTTACAATTTTAGATCTATTTCACTGTTGAATGGGTAAGCTGAAACATCTGCCATTTTGGAAAATTTGCTTTCAGTAAATTATGGTGAAGATGGGCTAAAAATTGGATGAAGCATTATTTTCATGATGAAATCACTCTATTTTAGGAACTCTTAGGTGATACAGACAAATCCCCAGTCAACTACCAGAGAGCCTCACTTACCGATGTACATATCCCATCTGATGAACGCTGTGAACAGCCAAAATGAGTTCAGCTAGGTAAAACTGAATCATATTTTCATCTAATTGGTCCTCATATCTGTTCAAAAGTGACAGCAAATCCCCTCCAGGCTGATATTCCATGACCTGCATAGAATGCCAAAGTTATTAATTCTTCATACACCCAAAAAAGGGGGAATGTTCTCAATTGGATCCTCGAATACTACCTGACATGTTATAATTACAATGTCTCCACAAAGCAATGAAGATGTATGAGACATACTGTAAGTCACGTAGGACAAGGTCCCTGCCCTAAGGAAATTACACCCGTGACCCAAGAGAATCAATACAATGAAAGGTGAATCCTAAACGCCATGTGCAATGTTTGCAAGGCAAGCTTGAAAAGTTGAATTAAATCTACCCACTAACCCACCCACCCAAGTAGACACCCCAGACATTCCCTGGGATTAGGTACATAGCATAGACGGAAATTCCTGGAGGGCAAGAAACCCTCTTGCATCCTTTCTGCATTTCCCCCAGCACCCAGCAGAATATAGGAGATGGGCAATAAACACGATACAATCTCTTCCTTAAACAGTCAGTGTGGAAGGCAACCTGACCATCTCTGTTAAAACTTTTAAGTGTGAACATATACCCTCTGAACCAGTAATTCTGCTTCCGATGATTTATTTTACAGGAACTTACAACAGTTTGTAGATAGACAGATAAAGAGATTCAATGAAGCATTGTTTGTAACATGGGAAAAAGAAACCCTGGAAGTCACCCAAATAGCCAACATTAAGAGACTGCTAAAATATGATTTATCTAAACTATGGGACAAGAGGCACATATTAAAAATGAATGGACTCGATCTATTCATTCTGCCATGGAAAGCCATCAATGATGATATATAGTGATGTCCTAAAGAGGATACAGTAAAACTTTTTTGTGATTAAAAAAACATATATTACATTTGTTAGTATATACATAAGGGAAAAAACCTGGAGGAATATAAAGTACAGCCTCAGGGAAATTGTTTGATTAGCAAAAGAAAGTCTTCCACCCCAAGAAACTGAAATCCTTCCTCCGTCTGATGATAACCGGGGGTGACATTCCTGAGTCGACGCGAGGCTTGGAGGCTCATCTGCCCAAGAGGCTTCAAACCTCAGCCCGGTGACTTCACCTGTCTCTCAGTTTTGTCCTCTGTAAAATGGGGATAAGACTGAGTCCCTCGCAGTGCTGTGCCTGGCGCCCATGAGATCCTCCACTGCTGTTCGAGTCCTTTCCTTTCCCTGAATTCATGGCACCATCCTCTCCGCTCTGGCTGGGAGAAGATGGGACCCATTTTGACCGTCTTTGCATCCACGTCAACCCCTCCTGTCCTTTGCTCTGATTTCCCATTTTAAAGTGTGGCTCATAGCCACACTTTAAATGTCTTTTATTTTAAGTTGTCTCAAACCCTTTCTGGAAAGAGGTAAGATTCAAATAAAAGTCTTTTTAAAAAAACCACTAAATCTCACAAACCACTGCATTCCAGAAGCCAACTCTGGGATGTGAATTCTCTTCATCCTCCTCCAAACTTCTGTTTGCTTTCAGTCCAGAATTAGAAGAAAGTTCTAGTCAAGTAAGATATGGAGCATCTGCACACGTCCCCAGAGGCCCCAGGCTGGTCCATAAAGACTCTGCCTAGCACCAGGTCAACCCCACACCGGGGACCCTGGGAGGGGCCAGTGACTTGCATGCCCTCCCCAAGGGCCCCTCGTCACCTGGCATCTTACACATAGCAGATACTCAAGCAGATACTGGACAATTTGATCTAAGGTTCCATTTGCACTGCAACTGCTGGAAAAAAAAAAACTGATTTATGAACTAACAAGAACAGCAGCACTGAGAAGGGGCGGCAGCTGAAATGCAGACTTTATTTTCCCCAAAGTCTTGGCAGACATAAGCTGCTCGTGCTGGTCCTCAAAGAGCCAGCAGGAGGCACCTGGCTGCCTGTAGCTCACCCACGTATCCCAGCCTGGTTCTCCACAGGCCCTGGGTACACGGGTGAATGCTAATTTTTTGCGTCTGTTTTAAATATATATTGTCATTAAAAAGGTCTTAAATATCCACACACACAAAGAAAATTCACACATAATAACAGAAGTACTCATGCTTTTAGAACCAAAATGTCTTAAAATATAATAAGAACAATGCATATTTATGACGACATGTTGCAGTTATAAATTTTCTAATCGGGCTCTATTAAAGATGTGAAAAAAATAGAACGGCTTGCGAGTTTAAGGCTGAGAAAGTCAAGCATGTAGCAACTGCTGGCCAGTTTTAAGAGCTCACGAACGGACCACTATTTAACACTTAGCGGTGATTCCTGAAGATTCTATTTGTAATGACTAGTGAAAAATAGTTCAGAAAATCAAAGCCATCTCTTCGAAAGGCAAAAAGATACATATTCTCTGCTCCTATTCAGAAGATCCAAATTCCTAAGATGAAAATCCCCGCCCAAACTAGATTAGTCAAACAATTTTGATTGGTCAAACAATTTTCCATTTCTTCAAAAGCGCTCATTAATAAGCAACAAAAATGACAACAGCTGCTAGGCAGCATGCTCTGAAACATGAGGTCAAGAAAGATGTACTAAATGACAAACCTCCTTATCAAAGAACCTAATCAGACTTGACCCACCAACAAGATTCTAGATTACCATACTGCAAATTCCAACCGTACATCATTAGGAGAATTTAGTTTGGGCATTTACTGGGTAAATTTGGCTACCCCAAGATGTTACCCCATCCCCAAACTATCTTACCAGGGTACAGTCACTCATCCTGGGATGAACGGAGCCCAAGGGAAGATAGCTTGTGTGTGGTCAAGCCAAGCTTCATCGATCTTGCTGTTGAGGCTAAAGAAATAATAAAGAACCAGGACTTGGACACTCTCAGAAAACACTTTTGCACTTTCAAAAACGGTACCAAATCAAGAGGCTCCAGAAAAGGGAATCCTTCTACACTGCTGGTGGGAATGTAAGTTGGTGCAGCCACTATGAAAAACAGTAGGAAGGCTCCTTGGAAAACTGAAAATAGAGCTGCCATATGATCCAGCAATCCCACTCCTTGGCATATACCTGGACAAAACTCTAATTCAAAAAGATACATGCACCCCTATGTTCAAAGCAACACTATTCACAATAGCCAAGATATGGAAACAAGCTAAATGTCTGTCAACAGATAAATGGACAAAGAAGACGTGGTATATAAATACAATGGAATCCTACTCAGCCATAAAAAAGAACGAAATAATGCCATTTGCAGCAACATGGATGCAACTAGAGATTATCATACCAAGTGAAGTAAGTCAGAAAAAGACAAATATCACATGATATCACTTATACGTGGAATCTAAAATGTGACACAAATAAACCTATCTATGCAACAGAAACAGAATCACAAACATAGAGAAAAGACTGGTAGTTGCCGAGGGGGTGGGGGGAAGGATGGAGTGGGAGGTTGGGGTGAGCAGATGTAAGCTTTTATATATAGAATGGATAAACAACAAGGTCCTACTGTATGGCACAGGGAACTACATTCAATATCTTATGATAAATCATAATGGAAAAGAATATGAAAAAAAGAATGTATATATATGTATAACTGAATCACTTGGCTGTACAGCAGAAACTAACACGACATTGTAAATCAACTATACTTCAATTAAAAAAAAAAAAAGAAAAGAAAAAAGAGGCTCCAAAAGCATCATCAAGTCACAAAGTAAGAGTTTTCAAGTCTTCATACCAGATGACATGCTGTAAACCAAAGACTGGGGTCAGCAGAACTGATGAACAAATTAGACCAAAGTCACCACCCAGGCTGTGCCAGACAGTCCATTCACAGCATTTGGATGTGCCCCCAAAAATGACTCCATGCCTGATTTTTACTATTCAGAGATGCCCAGGGAGGCAATGTTCCCCCCAGAAATGTGGCTCCTAACCCAAGAAAACTGGCAAGTCCTCTAGGGCAGAGCTTCTCAAACCTGCCTATACACCAGAATCACCTGGGGAAGCACTTTTTTTAAAATGGATAAAACACACTCATCCACATAAATATGTGAGCGCCTATTATGTGCCAGGCACTATTCCAGATATCAGGAAAACAGCAGGGACTAAAATAGACAAAAATCCCTGCCCTACAGTTCCCTGTGGAACTGTAATTCTAGTAGAATGAAAAAGAATTGGAAAAAAAAAAAAGAATTCAGCAGTATGAAAGGGTAAAGTATGTCTTTTCCTCATCTCAACCATTCAGGGAGCTTGCTAAAAACGTGGAGTCCACAGACCAACCCCAGACTTCATGGACAAGCTCCAGGGGTGGGGTCCAGGAATCTGCATTTTTAAGGAGCTACTGGGGTGATGCTGATGCAGCCAACCCAGAACTTTTTTTTTTTTTTTTAATGTTTTCATTTATTAGTTTCTTTTTGTTTGTTTGTTGTTGGGTTTTTTTGGCCCACTCTGCATGGCATGCAGGATCTTAGTTCCCCGACCAGGGATGAAACCTGTGCCCCCTGCAGTGGAAGCTCGGAGTCCTAACCATCCTAACCGGTTACTGGACCACCAGGGAGGTCTCCACCCAGCATTTTATTGAGACCCGATGCTGATGAGGCTGCGGAGGCATCACGGGTCCTTACTGCAACTAAATGACCCGCTTCTACAGCAGAGGCGCCCCGGTTTGAAGCCTGGCTTTAATACACCCCTCACTTCTGCTGCTTACATTTTTCCACTGACTTCCTGGAGCCATTCCGCATATCAAGACAAGATCACTGGCAACAAAGGGCTGGAACATAACCAGTCCATGAGCACTGAAGCTACGATCCTGCATCCTTGCAAGGATGGCAAAGGTCCCTGCAGGCCACCCCAAGAGTGATTACCAAGGCATGGTAATCAGAGACCAGGGAGATGAGAAGACGGAAAACAGCCCTACTGTGAAACAGCCCTGAACAATGTGACAACCCTGCAGATGGCAGAGAAAGCACAGCAGCTGACAGACCAGCCTGGCTTGGAGCTATAATGGACTTGCTCTTTTAAAGCAAAGACGGTCCGGCCAACAGAGACAGACCCTTCTGATGGCAGCAGCTGCAGATGCTAATTAAAGGGCAAA